GCGAGGACGTGCCTGAGCACACGCGTGCAGACATGCTCACACTCACGCCCTCCCCAGCCCCACGCAGAGCCGGGCCTGCCGGGCGGGCACACGCTGACAGCCCCTGGGCCACGGGGACAGGACCCCTGACACTGACGGGGGTGCACGTGTGGATTGGGAACGGCGGCTGACGGCATGGCTTGGCCGGAACAGCGTGCACGGCCTTGCCACGGGCCCTTCCTTTCCCAAGCCCGCTTGCGAAGGAGAAGCAGAGTGGGCGTGGAGAGGGCGAGGGCCCCCATATCGAGTCTGGAGTCGCCTGGCCGTCGTGGCTGAGCTCCTGGGCCGGGGCCCCCGGCTGTGACGTGGAAGGGCGCCGTGGGAGAGTCGGGCCGTGGCCTCCAGGAGCACGTCCGTCGCCCCCTGCTGCGCTGTCTGACAGCCCTCGTGGACAGTCAGTGCGGCGTCCTCGCACGCCCAGCTCGTGCTCCGGGGCAGCCCCGACTCTCCAGGCGTCCGGTCAGTGGCGGCGGGGCGACCCGGGCTGTCTGGAAACGCCTGTTTGTGGGGCCCGCCGGCTCTCCATCCGTGGGTGTGGTGCTAAGTAGGGTAGCTGCACGGCGTGGGGAGACACGGTGCTGTGAGGGAGAGAAGCTAGTTCGGGGGCTTGGCTGCGGCCGCAGAAGCCAGCCCTGGGTACAGCGGGGTGGGGAGCCCACGGGTGGGCCGAGGACTGCAGGACCAGGCCTGGAGCCGGGCCGGAAACCAGGCGGCCCTGCAGTGTGGCCTGGGCATAGAGGGGAACGGGGACGGATGATGGGTCCGCCCCCGTGGGGGCGGTGGCGCTCTCCGGGAACAAGTACCTGTCCAACCCCACGGAGTGGCAGGCTCCAGGGTCAGAATCCCAAAGCGGGCTCTACCGGGAAGCCCGCGGCAGTCACCCGAGGGGGACAGGAGGGCAAATGGGCGCGGCGAGGGAAGGCCAGCTGGGACAGAGGCTGACATAGCTCGTCCCAGACGCGGGCCCAGCTGGGGATGGAGCGCCGTCTTAGTGCAGCGCCAGGTGGCAAGATTCTCGTTGGCACGTAGGAACCTGTCAGCCGTACGGTCGGGGGCAGGTGTGTCCTCTTCTCTGGTTGAACATATGTGACGAGGCTTTTACCCTGACTAGTCCTCAGCCTCCATCCTGCGTGGAGAGGTGGAGCACGCCAGACCTCGCGTTGGGGGCCTCCGTGTGCACGACCTCACCCGCTTCCTCCACCGTGCCAGGCGTCGGCGCTGCTCAGCTCCCCGATGGCGGGCTAGGAACTTGCCGTCCGGAGAGGGTCCGGCCCGTCACGGCACTCAGCCAGGACATGGCAGCCCGTGCTCAGACCTCTGCCTCCCGCCTGACGCCGTCGCTCTGAGCCGTCTAAGGCTTCCGGGGGCGTGCTTAGACCCAGGATCCTCGCTCTGAGCCGTCTAAAGCGAGGCTTCCGGGGGCGTGCTTAGACCCAGGATCTCCAGGGCCTGCGCGGAGCCACCGCAGCCGTCGGCGTGACTCAGCGCCTCGCTGCACGGTCAGGCCGCCCAGCTCAGACCTCCCCGGACAGAGCCCGCCTTTTTCTGAGTCCGCCGTGACTCACATGTGCTTCATGTGCTTGGCAAGCACATGAAGCACATGGGTGCAGGTCCTTGGAGACACCAGTTTAATGATCAACCACTGATATTTACATGATCGAAATACACAGCTCAGGGTGGGATGCCATCCCCGATGTCACAGCTGGTGGCTCGGGAACAGGACCTGCCGTCAGCCCTGCGGGCACACCACTGACTCTGAGCTTGGTCCCATTCGTACATGAAAGGAGCACATTGAAAAATGCGGGTAAGACCACCAGCCCAGCACTGAGACACCGCGTGGGCTGCACCGTGGCTCGAACTCGTCCTCCCAAGTTCACGCTTGGGGACAGCTGCCAGTGGGGAGTAGAGGTGGGCTCATCTGCCCTCTCGATGTCTGGCTCCTGTCTGTCCGGCCTGTCCACCTGTCCTCGTCCCTCGTTGCTCCTTTCTTGCAGTTCCGCTCTGGGAGAGGCTGAGGACGGATCGACATTTAGAATCTCATGGCCTCCTCTACTGACTTTTTGTTTGTGCCAGTTTTTTGTAACATTTTTAGGATTTCTCTAGAAATTATAATTTTTTTAAGCTTGTAATAGTCTGTGTTCAAAAATGCAGCATGGCTTCAGGACTCACTGAAGAGCTTGCAGAAGCGGCTGGAGCGGCTCCCTGACTCCCGGACTGTGGTCGTTGTCGTTAATCGGTTCGGGCTTCCTGGCCCGTCAGCTTGGTCTCTCCCCGTCTAGGAGGCTTCCGGGTACCTCTGCGCCCTGGACACTTGCTACTCCCCTGTGGTCTTGGGTCCCCTTTATTTACCTTTTAGCCATTGTCGTTCCATGCTTTCATCCGGATAGTTCCCGATGACTCGTCGCGCTGGTCACCTGCCGCGCCGCCCTAGAAACCCATTCCCGGCGCGTCGTCATCAGGCCACGGCTCACGTTTCCTGCGGTATCAGCCACAGTGGTGGGGTGAAGGCCTCTGGGAGTCCCATCTCATAAAAGTGAGAATACTGCAGTCGCGGCCGGAAGCAGCTTTTAGGACTCCGACACCGAACCCAAGGACGGTAGCCCTTCAGGCCCCTCTCCGGTAGAGACGGGGTGACGGTCAGGAAGACAGCAGAACGTGGCCTTCGCACTCGCTCTCCTCCAGCCCCTCCCTGCAGCTCCATGATGGCCTTGAAACCTCAGGGCAGGGCCAGGGCAGGCCCGGGCCCGCCGGA